CCCACCTTACCAAAAAAGCACCATCTAGTGAACCTTTACTGAGAGTGGAACGTACTTCTCAAAATGGCGACGATAGCGGAGCTGACGCTCCACGCTCAAATCCCAGAGCGGGTCGCGCATGCGCGATGGCGACTCCGCTTTCCATAGAGCGGAGCGGGAAACCGAAAACGGTCTACTAAAACTCTCTATTATTTTAATTCGAACGTTTAGTTTTCGCCCGAATGTAGCAGTAGCAGTCTACACCAGATGCCAAAGTTCCAAAAGCTTCCCGTTATCCGATTCAAAAGTTATACGCCCATTTCGGAAAATTGAAGTGGAAAAATGGCGGCCGACGGAACTTACGACGAATACATGGAGGTGAATATGGCGTCGGCTACTGGAAACAGGCCCCATTTTCCCACTGGAAGTCTCCGCAATTCACTTATAGCTTCTGAGTACGATGACTTCGAGGCGTAAAACTATGGCAACGGGACCGGCTTGCAAGAAACAGCGTCTCAGCTGAGACCGGGGGAAAGAAAGCACTGCCAAAGCCATCGCACACGAGCCGAGCTTGACTCAAACCGCGTCTCAAGACGCTTGCGCGCCCTATAGCCTTTCCAGTGCTTTCTTTCAGCCAGTCTCATCTGAGACGATGTTTCTAGCAAGCCGGCCCTGGTCCTGGATAGTTATTCTACATTTTGGCAAAAACGGAACGCGTTCGGCAATGCCTAGATTATTTATGAGTTGAAAAAAAATCAATAATTGTGTTGTTTTTTCGGACACATTGTATATCGGCACCTTTGAGTTTCCTATTTCATCGGCGATTATTGACATCGCTATTGGTTGACTCGGCGAGTGCATGTACGAAGCGTAGCTTAGTGTCACGCTTGAATCATCCCGCCACCGTCATTGATGCCAATACCGATGCACATTGAGGACGTGGACTGGAGACCGTCGTCTTGTTGGCAAGCTTTTCCGTGCCGTACGATTGGTCAGGGATTGGCTCGATACCGTGAACAAAACTCGGTCTTTCCGCTAATGGCGATCTCTGGGTCACTCGTGATTTTCATGGTTACTGCACGCTCTCTGTATAATTTCTCGCTCTCTTGGACCGCCGTTGGTCTTCTTTTCGTGAATGAAGTCCCATTTCTCACCGGTGTTTGCTTACACACACGAACGCACGTACGCGCCATTTGCTTCCTCTCAGAAATCATGAGTTTTTTCCCCGTACGATATTATACACTAGATTGCAGTGTCAGGACAACCACCCCATGATATTTGGCCGCTGTGGAGTGGCGGATTTCTTAAGAAAGACGTACAGAGTCAACCAGCGCAGGGAAGCGTGACGGCAGAGCGACAACGTTGGGGAGTCAGTTTGGGAGTATACGAGTATATTTCAAATTTCCTTAAAGTATCCCTTTAATATTTACGTTCTAATTCTAAATATGCACCTAGTTTTTATGGTGATATTAAGTTAAAAATATACAACCAGGGCTCTCATGCATGGCTGTCGTCAAAACGTTACTCAGTAATGTCGCCGCTGACCAATAAAAGACGAAGTAAGCTTTGTCGCTGCAACATCGCACGAAAAAAAAAAAATTGGGCTGTGTGTATGTTAATACAGCCTAGAACTTGGTCTGCCTCAACGGGCGACGAGTCTCCCAGCTGTAGATGAGCAATTTAGCCAGTGCAGTACAAACGCTAGCCTGGGGTCTTTAACGTGCATCACGCAGTAGTGATACACGACCGCACGCCGGTACGATGCTCATCCAGATCGAAACGAGTAGGGGTGGGGATTGCACCCAGGATCACGGGTTCTGCAGCGTGAGCTTTCGCTCCACGTGCTTGGAGCTGGTGTGCGCTAGCCTACTCGGTCACTGATCGCCCCCGCAACACGCTTCTTCTTCGTCGACGGCCTTCTACCTCCGCGATCGCGTCGGCCGACCGTGCATCGCCGACGAAGTCGGCCAGGATCAAAGCGTCGCCATCCTGGCGATGTCTTACTAACGACCAGCTGCTGCAACGGTATTCCTCAACGTCCTCCGGTACATCCCTTTTCCGTCAGCGTTCTTCAAAACGTTCCAACGATGACCGAAGCCACAGTTGACCACCTCCAAGACCCCGGACTCCTTCACCACGTCGGCAGGATGCCGAAGACGACGATGTCGGTCGCCACGCGGGTCTCGGCGCTTTGGGTCTCGTGTCTCAGCGCAACGTTCTATTGGACATCGCGGTCCAGGAGCCATCGAACGTCCATCGTTCCTCCGTCACGTCCTCTGAACTCCAGTGGTGTTGGACATCGCGGTCACCGTCGATCATTGCTGCATCGCGTCCTAGACCCAAGTTTCATTGGGCATCTCGGTTCAAGAGTCATCCAGCGTCCATCGTTGCTGCGCCACGTCCTCTATAGACCCGAGTTTCATTGGACATCCCGATTCAAGTGCCATCCAGCATCCGTGCCTGTTCCGTCGCCTCCTCTGGACCCCTGTTCCACTAGACATCGCAGTCCACGTGTCATCCAGTGTCCATCATTGCTGCGTCACGTCCTCTAGACCCCAGTTCTATTGGACGTCGCGGTTCAGGAGCCACCCAGTGTTCATTTTTCTTCTGTCGCATCTCTGGACCCCAAAAGTCTAGTGTTAGAACTGCTATGGCATCTTCCGAAGGCCCATCAAGGCAAGAACCCGCAGGCAAAGGCGGCCGTAAAAGGTGGGTGCCGCGCATTGGGCGGGAAAGTGGCCGTCTCGTCGTGACCGCTGCATTTGGACCGCGCTTCGATTTCCTCTCAATGTTTTACGTGGTCGGCAATGTGGGCTCCCTGGAGCGTCGTCTCTGTGGCGTCGCTGTGGACTTTTGGAATGGTTTTCTTGATCGACTTACCGTGAGAAAGGAGCCGAGCTGGATCACGAGTCGGGTCTTTGTCTCAAGGGAGCGGGTGATGCGTGCCTTCCTTTTCGTTTCTATCTGTTCGTTTCGATTCGCACACAGAAATCCGAGTTTCGGGTTACGTAAGTTCGCACAACTTTTGTTCTTCTTTTGTCGGTTGTGATTTAGATGTTTTGTGAATGAACGGATACCGTCAGTAGTGTGAATGGTTCGGATCACGTGAGGGGAGTTCGGTTTACTACGCAAGCTCAACAGGGTATGCCGCACAATGGCAAAACTGAAAAGCTTTTGTTGCTGTTTTTTTTTAGTGCCTATGGCATTTGATTTTGATGATAAAGGCTAGGCGGCACATTAATTCATTCTTTCGTGGATGCTACTTCTTTACACGAAGCTGTCACTTTTGTTGCTACTTATATAGCGATTACCTTGACTGTAGCATTTATTTTGCTTTGCTTTATATATATATATGCACACTTTGGGTTTGAACAAAGCACCGGACGCCATCTTATGATCTCTTTTGTCTGAATTCCACGCAGCCACAATAATTGGGAGCGAAGTTATGCGGGCGGCATTGCACCACCATTATTTCGGCACGGGTTATATTGGCTGAATGAGATGTGCGTTTTCAAACTACTGAATCGTCGCCGTATGTTTTTGAACCAAATATTAGACATGTCAACTTTTATTGCGCATTGACACAGTGTGAAAGTGACATACGCTGTCGGAAATCTCCCTGATTGGTTCCGCTTTGGCAATCTTCACGTGCAAACCTTTTTGATAGAAGACGAGCTTGCTGAACCACACAGTTCCATTACAGGATGAATTTCGTGGCGCTCATGACCGTCAGGGGATTCGTTGTCTTCGTAGCTGCGACCTTCATGTTTATAGTGCCGTCCACAGTTGAGACGTCGAATGTTTGATTTCTTCCCCGTCTTCTAGTTTTTGGTTGTTTCAATATTTTCTCACCTGCAGTCTCGGGTGCTTTAACAAAACCCGAATAGACCCTTTTTAAAACTCTTATCAGGCAACACAGGCGCTGTCTTTTTCTTGGGAATGAAGCGTGAATTGACTCCGAGTTTTTACCGAACGCTCATGCAGTACTCGTCTTTGATACAAACTCATTGGCGCATTTTGCGCCAATGAGTTTTTCAACGAGCATTTTTCAACGAAGAAATAAGTTACGCACGATTGGGATTTCGGGTTTGTTGGGATGCTTAGAGCGTCTATATTTAGTTGTCACCACTGAAGGATGATCTCATAATCGACTTCAGTGCCCCTTTAAGCAGAGACTATACGGTGGGGAGCTACGTGCCCGGCGGACCAATCAGCCGCCACCCTCTTATCACCTGACCCGGCTCTCCGCGCGTGGCTACAGCCGGGAGCGTGATAACGTGACGAAAGATAGCATGACGTCACTGGTCCAACGAGGACGTAGCTTCCACTGCAGTCTCAGCTGAGGGTTGAACGGGGTATAGCAGAGCGAACGCTGGAGAGAATGACGACGTTTTTTTTCCAGTGTTCGCCCTGCTAAGGTGGAAATGGGTGGAGGTATCTTCTCCTGGGGCCCTAACAACAGCCTCTAGATAACGAAGAAGTATAGTGTTGATAGAGACGTCGTTTTAAGCGAAGGCCAACGCTGGTCACAGATTGGACACGACAATTGCGTCAGCGTTCGGCTCAAACTTGACTCGAATCCGAGGGCTGACGCACCACTCGTTTCCAATCTGTGTGCAGCGTTGACCTTCGCTGGTGCCGCAACAAATGCCAGCACTACGGCCTTGTCTTCTAGGCAGTGTTGGCCCTAAACTGCATGGCGGGACCAAGCGGGAGAGGGGGGGGGGGGGGGGGGGGGGCAGGTACATCGCCACCTGCTGCGATTGGCTAGGTCCGCACCGCTGACCAATAGCGGCAGGTGCCGATGTCCCAATCCCTCGGTCCCGCCGTGTGGATTAGGGCCCCTGAACTCTTAACCTGTCACCAACTATAGATGGCACGCACTTTAAAAAAAAATATGTCTATTGTTTTGTGATTTGAGGCGATTTATTGACTGAATGTGTAGGAATGCATCATCCCAGCTGTCGTGCTTGTAGCCCGCTCGATCTCAACGAGGTGTTCCCCCTCTTCTCTGCTCGCAGCTCTGGCAATGGCGAAGAGACGGACAAGCGCAAGCGTCCCATGCGCTTCACTGGCCAGCACGACATCCAGCTTCTCCAGGAGGTAGTGAACCTGAACCCGTTCAAGGACACGCCCCCGACGACCACCTGGGCCTCCATCTCCAAGAACCTGGAACGTTTGTTCATGATCAGTTCCCGCCGGTGCCGGGAGCGCACCATCCTGATGCTCGACCAGTTCATCAAGGGCGACTACCCGAGCCTGCAGCGCTTCTGCACCAAGGAAGAGTTTACCATCAAGGAACAACTCCTCCAGCAGGTGCGCCTATTTTTTTTCTCTCTTTCTCTCTCCGCCGAAAGACAATGAACGCCGTTCCAATGTGCAAAATATCACATCCCAGTATGCTCTTCACACTCCAGCACGCGCATGTTAATCGCTTCAGAAAACGAGCAAAACACGCGCCATACGCACACACGCCGAAAATGGCACCGGCCAGAAAGGAGCCAGCGTTTCGAGGGCCTGGACACTTGGCAAAAGGGTCGGCGAGGAATCCGACCGCCGTGATTGGCCGACGCCTTGAGTTCAAGCGCGACGCCGACCAATCACGGCCGCCGAATCCTTGCCGCCTTTTGCGCCAAGTCTCCAGGTAGTGCCGAGATATTTCGGTGGCGCCCTCCTGCGGTTTCCGTTCGTGACGTCACGACCAGGAATTGCCTCACCGTGACGTCACGAGTTTTGACCTTGGCCACTCCATCGTCAGTCGTGACGACAAGCTCGATGGTGTGAATAAAAAGCACAGTTGAATGTTAGGAACCATCGCGTTCTTATACCACACCGTCGAAGGTGACAGTTTGACGATGCTCTTACGCCCGATTGGACAGGCCTGCTGTGTCAGCATTCGGCTGCAACTCGAGCTCAGTCCGTGAGAAACCGAGCCCAGACCGAATGATGTCGCAGCTCTAGTGCCCAATCTATGTCCTACGGTGGCCTTCTTCAGTGATCCAGCAAAATTCAACACAAAGGCTTTCTTATTTAGGAGGTGTTGCCCCTAAGCGACGCTGAACGCGTTTGTTTATCTTGGCGGGGGCTCTAAGAACAAGCACGTCTACGTCCTACATCGGCGGTTATTTTCACAGCCGAGGCTCACCGCTGACGGACGGACGCCGGAAGGCCCTTCTGCTGACGACGCGCTCTCTCTGTTTACTGTCCTTTTTCTCGTGTTTGTTTTATTAGGTAGCGGCTGAGTCTTCGTGCTCAACTCTTTAGTCTACGTCGGCGGCGTAAAGCAGCTAACAAAAATGTAAAACACTTGAAGGTACTTTGTCGCTGGTCTTGGCGCGACTGTGTTGTGGTACAACGTTGAGAAGAAGGCACGGGAAGATGCTTCTATTACGGCGAGAAGGTGCCCAAAACACGCATATTTGAACAAACATTCCATTGAGAGTAAATCTTTATCGGAGGTGGAACGCCCGATTTTTGACACTTGTTTAGAATGTCCTCAAACTCGCTTCTTGGCTTTCTACTGCGGCAACGACTCTTATTGGGGAAGTTTCGTAGCAGGTCCAGAAATGCGTTGTGCGTGCGTCGTGGCCAGCCAAATTTAGCGAGAAAATTTCTCCGTTTAATTTAGCGGAAATAGTTTCGCTAAATTTAGCGGGGATCTAGAGTCACGTGACGTTAGAGTGTCCCGTGACGTCACGGGCTCACGTGGCGTCACCTGACGGAGTGGTGGCGCGTGACGTCACGATGTCATGCAATGTCCTGATGTCGAGGCACCTTATATAGCGTCACATAAACAGTGCGCGTTAAATCTAAACACGCCAGTGTAACCGTGCGCAGCAGCGTGCGCAGCGCCTCGGACAAAGTTTGTTTTCAAAAATCGGCAAAAACCGGTGTTATTTTGTTTTGTTTTTCGTAGGTGTTGCAGCAGTACGAGGACGGGGCTGGCGGCTACAGCTCCCGCATCGGCGGTGGCATCGTGGCCGCGGCCGCGGCTGCCGCCGACGAAGACAACGACGACGATGACGAGTTCGACCTGGACAAGATCAGGCCCAGGGTCATCCTACACGACGGCTCTACGCCGGAGCACTACACCAGTCGCCAAGGCAAGTGCTCTACACGGGTCTATCTACAGCACGCCTTGTATGGACCTTATCACCCGGACGAAAAACGCTGAGTCACTGAGCTATGGACACATGCGCAGCGTCCGATATACCGCACAGCAGATCAACAGCGCATGCCCAGAAGGCGTTCCACAGCCCAGCAGACAAAGATGGCAGCGCGCAGAAAGGCGACTTGCGCAAAGGTCTACGGTTTGATTACGGCGCCCGTGGAACGCGTCTCCTATTGGTGCATTCAAAAGGTTCGAATGGTCGCTATACTTTCTGGTTGATTGGTGAAGACACCAGACTACTCTTCAGATGTACGGAAGATATTCGCTGGATGCGATGTTTGAGGTCCTCCTCTGCGCATGCTTAGAATCAGCTTCGTTGTCGAAGCAATTGTTCGGCCTTCGTTTGAGAAGCGTTGTTGAATCTCGCCCTCCGTACGCACTCAGCAGAAACGAACGATGGCTACCACCAGTGCTTTAGCGCCCGCACTCTGTTGGGACGTCGCGATGCCTCATTCCGTCCATCCGCACCATGGGGCTTTAGGCCTCCATGGACATAACATAATTGTTGCCTTTTCACTAAAGGCCCGTTCACACTCTTGCAACCGAGTACGACCGAGAGAGACCAGACCGGTTTTTAAGCCTCTTGCGATCTCTTAGGACCAGCTCCGCTGCCGCGCATCCGGTCCTAAGAAGTCGCAAAAGGCTTAAAAACCGGTTTGGTCTCTCTCGGTCGTACTCGGTTGCAAGAGTGTGAACGGCGCTTAAAGCGCCGTTCACACTCTTGCAACCCACTACGACCGAGAGAGACCAGACCGGTTTTTAAGCCTCTTGCGACTTCTTAAAACCGGGTGCGCTGCTGCGGAGTTGGTCCTAAGAAGTCGTAAGAGCCTTAAAAACCGGTCTGGTCTCTCTCGGTCGTACTGGGTTGTAAGAGTGTGAACGGGCCTTAACACTCCTGCAGTACAGTACAGGGCACTCCTGGGGGGGATCGGTGGCCGAGTGGTCTAGCGCACACCAGCTCGGAGCACGTGGAGCGAAAGCTCGCGCTGCAGAACCCAGGGATCCTGGGTTCGAGCCCCACCCCTGCCCGTTTCGATCTGGATGAGCATCGTACCGGCGTGCGGTCGTGTATCACTACTGCGTGATGCACGTTAAAGACCCCAGGCTAGCGGTTGTACCGCACTGGCTAAATTTCTCATCTACAGCTGGGAGACTCGTCGCCCCTGTGAGGCAGACCAAGTTCTAGGCTGTATAAACACACACACAACCCAATTTTTTTTTACAGGGCACTCCAGTACAGAAGACTAAACACAAAAGTTGGAATGGTGTTCCGGACATGGTAGTTTGGCGTGTGAACGGCGACGCCACATTGGCTTACATGTCATACACTCGTTTACTTAAAAGGACACTCCCCCCTCTCTCTTCCTTTTTTTTTTTTTTTACTTTTTTTCAGGCGAATTATTAGGGTGTCAGAAGACTACCCAATCAATATTTTGCTACAGTGTGACGTATATTTGTAGTTATGCGGAAAAAGAAAAAAACCAACTGCTTGAAATTGAAACCGAAACGGGACTGGGGAGGAGGAAGAAATATAGAGAGGAGAAAGTTATCAAACGTCACTTAACCGTGCAACTTTTTTTTTCTTTTTTTTTTCTTTTTTTTCAATTAACGTATTTGCAGCTTTTGAGAAGCCACAAAAAATTTGTATCATATTTTTGTCCATTTCCAACATTGAGTGTGTACCTTCGATGAGCCACGACTTTGATTATCTTTGGTGGTTGTGTCTAAACCTTAGAAAACGGCACGTGACCACGGAGAAGAGAGTGAGCGAGACTCATACCGGCCAGTTCTCGATCGGCGTTTTTCGGGTGGAAAGAAAGGGAATTTCGAGCCGCAAATTGCGTTCTCAGTGTCATGTACATGTGTCATGTACATGACAAATGTACATGCGTTCTCATGTGTCATGTACAAATAAAAACCTCGGCGAGCATAAATACCGTGTTAGTGTCCCTTTAAAGGCGCTCGAGAATGAAGTGTTGCTCCCACTAATTTCATATCTCCGCCTAGGAACGAGGATGTTTTAGGGAGGAAAGTCTCCAAAGTACACTCCAGAGGTGTCCCCAGAAGAAAGAAGAAACCGGTGTTTTCCCGGCGTGTTCCAACACAAAAACGACCAACCGGGAAAGCCTAAAACGGGTCACCGAGTGAGACTAATTCCTAGTCCGATCTCGATACTACACCAGGAGCCCAAAACTCAAACATAAAGTTGGAGCGAAAGTTCGCGGAGCGCGGCAATTGGACGTAGGCGAAAAAAAAAAAAAAAACACTCGAAGTCATCGTCCTGATAGGCCAATCGGTGCGCTCCATCAACTTTGGCCCCAACTTTGTGTTTGACGAATTTAGAGGCCCAGTCAGATACAACATAAGAAAGACAGGGCGAAAGGGAAAAGGGCGCCCACGTAGGAAAGCTGAAAGTGGAGAGGGGCGATCCTCTTTCCACAACGGCTTTTCTCGTGTGCGCCCAATTTTCGCCCTCGCCCTGCCTTTCTTATGTTGTATCTGACCATAGCAGCTAGCATACTCGCTGGTACCCGAACATTCAAAATCGCAGCTTTTCTTTTTCTTATCCGAACTTTTCTTGTTCTCGTTTCTTTTCGTTTTGTTTTTGCGCGCATATCAAGATGGAATATTAGGGAACGAGTCATCTTCTCAAACCTGTTTGAGAGCTTAGCAAAAGAAGCGTGTAATTCGTGTCGCAACCTGCTTTATTCTGCTTCCGGTGCCTCTTACTCACAATGAAAGCTCGCTCAAATGTGCGGAGGAGTCGAAGGACGTCGCACGTGGCTATTTGCGGAACCGCCTTCCGAGAAACTTATCTGGTCACCAGCGAGCCCAGCAGAACAAAAAGCGAAGCACTCGTGAGCTCCACACTTTTTTTTTTCTTCAGCCATTATGCCGATGAATGTGACTCCTTACCTTAATGGGCAACACATTTTTTCTTCTTCTTTGTTCAACTAATAATCTAAAGGGCGGGAGAGTGTGTTTCGCCGAGGGACTGTAACGCATATGCATGTCTACGTCAGGTAATTTCGCCACGCGCGCGCTGTTCTTGGCGACGTGCCGATTCCCCGTCGGATGTCACCTGACCTCCGTGCTCCATCAAGACGCTGACTGAGTCAGCTGCCGTCCGCTTGACTCGGATCGCTGTCGCCCGAGCTATCGAACAGCTCAGCTTAATTTCCGGGGTAAAACCGTCCCAAAAAGGAGAATATATGAGGTGATTTGGTGTCTATGAAAATGTAAACTCGGCGTTGGCCCACTGCGCATGTGCAGGAGCTAAACTCGCGGGGGATAAACCATCAGCAGCGCCCTCGCTGTGGCACGACGTCAGAGGCGTGCGTTGGTCTATAGACCTCCCTCGTGTCTACAGACGAACTTTCTCCTCGGGTCATCATCTTCGTCTGTCCTCTCAAGTACGTCTTATTACCGGTTCTCTGTACTTCAAAGGCGCAAAAACGTTCGAACTGGGCGATTTTGGCTGGTCCGGTCAGCAGTGTCATCTAACGTTGTGGTAATGACGGTGGAGTATTTAACAGGATTTCATAATTCGTAAATCTGTGGGAAGATATTCCATTCAATTCCCAAAACAACATTGTCAAAGGGCTGTTTTCTTCTTTTTTTTTTTTTTAAGTTAGAAAACCAGCGATGGAAAGGATTTATATCTTGAAGTTGGCAAAACCAGGAGATAAATTGCTTTGTTTCATCTTAAAAATGGCAGTCCATAATATCTACCTGGCAAAGTTAGGAAGCAGCGCACTATCCGAGGTGTGACCTTTTCAGGTCACACCTCGAAGAAGGCGCCGTGTAAACAGGATTTCGGTCGCACATCAAAAGATGGGGCTCGAAATTAATCCCCAGTCCTCGGCTGGGTTGTGCGAGATGTCCTTCAACGGTTTGGCGGATAAAACCCCCAAATTTGATTTTTGAGTTAACCTAATTGTCAGTCGTTTACTGATATTGGAGCAAAATCTAATCTTCACTTTGTTCTGAACTAATAACTGTCACTAAGGGCCGGTTGCACCAACGTCGCTTAGCGCAAAGCGGAGCTTAACCGGGAACTTAAGCTTAGTTTCGGTTTCGTTCGGTTGCACCAAACTCGCTTATCGCTAAACCTAGCACTAAACTACGCTTAACTTAAGCGCCCGACATTGGGCGCTTTGCCTCTGGTTGTTTCTTAATCCCGGATTACAAACATGGCGGCTGGTTTGTCACGGTCGACGCGGTGGACGAAATTGGTTGTGCAAAGTGTTTTAGGCTACATCAGCGTGAAAGTCTCGACAAAATGACTTTCGATTGTGACAAGGATGCAAAATATTGTCGCGTGAAGTGTTTATCGACCCCTGTTTTCAAGTTGGCTCTCCACTTTCAGGGCGTGTTAGCCCTAACCGAGAAACGTACGGAGCTGTGGGGCTCACGTCTGTATTCCCGTTGGTTCTTCTGTCAACGAGCTTATTCGTATGTACGTACTAATTTTCGCATAGCTGTAACGTACTGTTATTTACCACCTTGTTTATTTACACTTGCAGCGCGTATCCTTCAATCTGATCAGCGCGTTGAATAGTGGAAGTACACGATCTCGGCGATCAGCTGATTGTCGACACCTCTGCCGTTTGCATTAGATTGCGGCGCTTTTAATTAATAAAACAGCGAAAATTCAATTTCTTTCGTTTTCTGAGTTTTGAGACAATCTTCAGTGAATTTTCCTTATCTCGCGAGTAGAATCTTGGCGTCAGAAAACTGTATCGTTCCACAACTAACTTTTTTGGTGATCGCATTTTTTTTATATACTTTGCTTCATATCTTTCATTCGTTTCCCGAGAACGAGATACTGTTGTTTTCGAGTTGTGCTCTGTGATGGTGTTTTCCCTTTACTTTTGTCGTTTGTTTTCATTGTGTCGATGGTTGAGACTATATACCGGAACACGTTTTCAATAAAATTCAGTTGAAAGTTGCGCCTTGTTGTGTCCTCCGTAACTTTTTTCGTGATCGCGAGTTTTTAGGAATATTTTGCTTTATATCTTTCATTCGTGGCGACGACAAATCGTAACGACTACTATGTTAGATTCGTTCATTGCTGTATCGGGGCAGGCTGGGGCAGGTGATGCGAAGAGACGACCGTTCTTATCGGGTACTAGTGGGAGTTTTTTTTTTTTTTTTTCTGAACTCGACAGTGTGAAACTGAAGTCCGTTTGAGGCTGCAGCGGATGTTCAACGACGGTACAGTGCAGTTCTGTCACCTTGCTGATAGCAACGAGTACCGTCGATGCAAGGTCTCGTGACCTGACCTCTCGACGACTTCTATTCGACGATTTCCGGGCATTTTCGCAGGCGAGTTCGTCACTGTTTTGAACTTCATCGGTCTCAGGCTTGACTTGGTTTTAGTAGTCATCTTACCTGCCTACTTATATCCATGATGTTCTGTCTTCAGCGATGTAGTGAGTAGAGTGTCCTTCTCGCGTTCGGTGAGTTTTGGGGCCCCCGATGGCTCCTTCGCCTCAAAATGTGAGCACGAAAACTACTACCACTGTCAAAATATCCTGTTATCAACCGATATTAAACACACAATCACAGGTGTAAAGAGCATTCGTGTTTATTTGAAGCTTTGACTTCTGTTATTGAAAGTTAAACGAAAACATGATTGAATTTGGAGACCTTTAATTTGTTACTCACCGAAGAAATACAGCGAAAAGCAGACGCCGACGACGACTGCTACGACAGTTTTTCTTTTTTCTTTTTTTTTTGTTTACATCACGTGATTCTTCTCCGCCAATCGTATTCGTCGCTCTAAGCGTTCCCTAGTTTGCTCTGTTTGTCCCTAGATTCCCTACGCAAATCCAGCGTTTAGCTAGGGGCGCGTCTGTAAAGCCGGCTTAGCGTTGGTGCAACCGGAATTTAAACCCGTGCTTACCTAAGCTCGGTTTAGGGCGCTAAGCCGGCTTAGGAAAGCGCCGCTTTGGGTTAAGATAAGCGGCGTTGGTGCAACCGGCCCTAAGATGGATAGGGTATCCAGTTGGTACATTGTTACGAAACTGAAAGCACCAAAAGAACCGACCTAGGAAAAAAAACAGGTCGCACTTTCTAGCGCGTTGTGTTGTCTTCCTCCTATGTCCAGGCTTTTAACGTTGCCAGTATTGTATTAATTGTATTACCAGTTGTTTGATAATTAGCGGCATTATATCACATCGCTGTTTTTTTTTCCCTTATATGATATCTTTTTAATCCCATTTTACGTGATATGTTATAAGGGGGCTCCTGTAAAGCCTATAGGTCCATCAAAATTGAATCTTACATATTTATATCGAGGCTGTGGCCCAAGCACGTATTTATCCTGGGATACGATGTTGAGTTTAGGTTGTTACATCATTACTAGCTCGCCAGCGTCGTAACTTTAAAAAATTGCTTGGGAGCATTGACGTCAGTGATCCATGATGTCTTGTCCTGGAAGTCAACTTGGAACTTGCTTGCAGGTGATAGCGAACCAGACCATGCTAACGGCGTTGGCGGTGCTGGCGGCGGCGGCGGAGGCAATGGTGGGGCAACCGCATCCAGTGCTCCGGCTGCCAAGCGTCTCCGTGTCGCAGACGACGATCTACTCCTCGAGGACATGATGGCCGCCAGCAGCGACGGCCGTCCCGCAGACTTCCCGACGCAGGTGGTCACATTCCTGCTCTCCAGACAGGCTAAGGAGATGCGAGTCCGCGAGAAAGAGCTCAAGCTGCGTCGCGAAGAACTGGACCTGGAACGGGCCAAGCTCAAGCTGCAAGAGGACCGGCACGCTCTGGAAAAGGCCCGCTTCGAGATCGAGCGCCAGGAGCGAGAACTCCGGCTTCGCTCCGAGAAGCAGGAACGCACGCTCTTCATGGAGGTCCTCAAAAAGGTCATCAGCACGGGTCTTGCAGACTCTTAGCTGTGCCTTGTGGACGGGTCTTCAAGCAGGTCATCAGCACGAGACTTGTACACACCTTGTGGTGCCTTGTGGACGTCTCCTCAAGAAGGTCATCAGCACCGGGTTTTCGCACTCCTAAAGGTACCTGGTGGGTAGGTCCTCAAGGAGATCATCAGCACAGGACTTGCAGACTCCTAGCGGTGCCTTGTGGACGACCGCTGCTCAGAGACGCTGGCTCGGTGCTCCGAGTGGAGGGCTGTTCTTGTTTCATTTTGTCGGCTGGCGGGTTCAGCGGCTGTTCTCTTCTACTTTTGTGTGCATCATATTTATTTTATTGTCCACCCAGTACTTTGTGTGCAACAGACTTCATACTGTCACCTCAGTTCAAAAGATGTCATCATCGCTTCCCCTGGAAAGACAAGTTTGATGGCCCTTTTTATGTCCTTGTTCCGGTTTGCTGTGATCTCCATGACAGCTGTTTGGTGGGTGAGTGTGACTGGAGTTGTCACAAACTTTTAGGAAGTCAAAACTTTCTTATGCGTCAGGACGTGCACATATCTCGGGTCCCAAGCGGTGTACCGGAACCAAGTTTCTTCATTTCACTGGTTTTGTGATATAAATATTTATGAAAAATAATTTACATTGTCGTGTCCAGCGTTTAAAGTGCTTCAACCGTTTTTTTTTTTCCTGAAAATTATTTTTTAAGTACGAAAACATTGCAAAAATGTTCCAAAAGCCGGGATTCATGATTAAACACAAATAACTCCGACTTCCATAACAATACCAACAAATTTATAGGACGTTTTGTCTCCTATGCGGGTAAAAATGACATTGTTATTTTTACCCTTAATCGCGATTCAAAGTTGGACGACATACGCTTACTTGTCTCGCTCGACAAGGGCCTCCGAAATCACCGATTCTCCTAAGCTCATCCTATCAACACCTTTGCTGTGCGAGGATGAGTTAACGTTCTAATATACGTCGCAAGCGCACAGCAACGAACTGGTTTAACCATCGCTGAAACGGGCGAGCGGAGGCGAATGACGAAGCAAGTAGAAAGGCCTACACGAAGCCCTGTCAACGACAATTCGTTTCATCGTCAGAGCGCAGAACACGCCATGGACCCATAGGCAAATCAAGCTACGCGGAAAGCGCCACATCACGGCCTTCGTTGGCGTTCAAATAGCACCATCGTGATGTTCGTCGTGTTTCTTGGTTGGTCCCATTAGGGAGTTGTAGTAGATCGTTTTTCTCCTCCGCTACGGTATCCGTAACAAAAGCGCCGCAGCTGCGCATGCGCGCCGCCAGCCTTGTCTGCATAGTCTTGTGGTGGATTACGGAGCGCTATCCGGGTGCATAGTGGGTTGTGGAAATGGTCAACTACAGCTCCCTATTACCTTCTAGCGTCGGCTACCTCTGTACTTAAAGTCTTAAAGGCTGACGTACAACCTCGTTTTCTGTTTCCTAACGTTCTCAGTCACGTGGGTTCCATATCTGGTGTGCGGGACGAAAAAATAATACAATTCAACCGAGAATATGCCAGAAATATATAGGTAAGGCAAAAGAAGAAGGTGCGACAGTCACGTATTTTTCATAAACACCTTCCGACGGCGTGGAGAGATCAAAACTATGTTTTACCGCATACCATAAGTGACGACATTCAAGATGGCTGTGCCCTTTCGAAAAAAGGTGTATCTTCAACACTGCAATGAGTGCCGGTATGTCGTGAGATTCCCTAGCACTGGGAAGGCTGTGAATGACGCAGCGCTACTCAATTCAAAGAGCTATTCGTACACGCGAGTATCGTTGGCGCGTGCTCCCCTCCTTCATCGCCAGCCACCGCGGGAAGCAGCGAGGAAGGAGCCCCTGCAGCGGCCCTCGAAGGCACGCCGGTCAGGTGAGTGCCTCGGATCGCCCCTGGCCCACTCCGGGAGACTTCAAAGGAAAGAGCCGCCTCCCAAATTAGCCACCGTTGGTGCTCTTCATTAGACTGGCCATCGGCGGGGCGCCCTTGCCGCGTGATGGTCGCGTAGTGGCTTCACGCCGCTGCTGCCGCACTCGCCGGTTTTTCTTTTTAAATGGAGGGCCGCTTTGTTCCGCTTACGAAAGGGTCTCGCTTCTCAAATTACATCGCCTCATTGTGTCAAGTGAGCTTGCAACGGGTCGTAGGTATGGGACAATTAGAACCCGTTTCGTTTTCTTATGTTCACACACTTGGCACTGCTTACGATCGAATGCTTAAGCGCGAGACACATGGACGGCAGAATCGTTCGATCCCACAGTCCGAACGCCGCTCCGAATTGCCGCACGCGACAGTTTGAGACACGCTTCCGACCTTGCATGCGACATGACGATCCGTTGGGCACCGCCCAAGAGATCCCTGGTCCAAGGTTCGGTCAATCGTGGCAGGGCGATCACAGCGTCGCTGTGATCGCCCTGCCACGATTGATTGAATGCCGATCATGACGTCAGCAAAGGATTTCTCATCGACGGAAATGAAAGTAATATAAGAACTTCAATTCTGACGGTACTGGCAGTGTTGCTTTCGGAAAGCAATAATTTCAAGCTTCCACCATGCTCATTACAAACACCATCGAACTTGCTGTTCGCAAGGTAATGACGTCAGGAGCGGAAACCATAGGAGGGCGCTCCAGGGGCTCCTTACAGATGGCGCCAGCGTGCTAGTGCGTTACGTGTGTCTTATCGTCGTAAGAGATGACAAGAATTCGGTTCTAAGCAAAGTGTGTGTGAACCAGCCTTTAATGTGAACACATGAATTTTGACGAAACACGAAGGGGGGGCCAGGGGGAGGGGGGGGGGGGGGGGAGGGGAAATAAACGGAGACATGACTATGAACCAGCTAGCCTGATTAAAACCCGTAACCCTGTTTTTTCTATTCTTTTAATACTCAATACTTCCTGTATTTTGGTCCAACCTTCTGTATGAAGCGCGCGCATGCACATCTTTGACCTGCGCTTGATATGTGCGAGTCCAAAGCCTCGACATTGAGGATATATTGATCCGTACATTATGGGGCACTTCTTTGTGGATCCTAGCGCTGTAAAAGGGGCCGGAAGAATCGGTCCCTGCACATAGAAAGCTCAAACGTCCGCCGAATGTGCATTTAGGTGGTGGATATTATCTAGTCAAATTTCAAGACTTCTCTCTTTTCATGTGGAAAAGAAGACTGTCAAACTTGGCGGGGGTCAACGGCGGACGCGTTTGCAGACGACCGAGCTTGCGATGGTTGTAACTTGAGACGCCTTCAGAATAAGGACGGCGTCCGCTGCCGAAAGTAGCCTACTCCTATTCCAGCTCTATTCTCAGAAATAGATCAAAAGGCACTAATTTCATAAACGCTGCAGTAGATTCAATCGCTAGTTGAATGTGAGGCCATGTGCTACCCTGTGACGCGCTCTACTCTCAGAACAGAAGCAAGTTCCAGTACCCCATCCCCCCGCCTCCTCCCGAACCGATCGTGACGGCGGGTTCCCGGTTCAATTTGGTCAGTTCGTGACGGCGTCGTATCGAGCGGCGAAAGACGCTTTCCCTCTCTTCCAGCTGCGGCTGGCTACCTGCAGTGCCCACTGATTGGTTTTGAGCTTAGTGTCGTCTCGAAGTTGTAGCCACCGCGCAATACATTATCCAGTCGGCGCAAGTTAACACGCGCCTCTGAAATCACGCCGCTGCTGTAGTGCTCCTGTCGGCACTGCCCATCCATAGACACTTCACATGAATCTAATTTCTAAGCGCGTACGGTGCCCATACCTGATGTGAATAAAAGCGGGCTTGTCTGTAAACAATAGGTCTTGTAGCGCTGTAAAACGAGCCGCAACATTCGGCGCGTGCACATGGAAAGCTCACACTCGGACCGAGTGCGCATTTTGGTAGTGCATCATTGCATATTACGTGATGAAATTTCAAGACGTAGTTCTCTTCCTGTGAAACACGATGAGACCCGCAAACTTGGAAAAGGTCCGGGCCTATAAACTCGTCAAACACAAAGTTGGGGCCGAAGTTGACGGAGCGAACCGATTGGCTTATCATGACGATGACTTCGCGCTTTTTTTCGCCGACGTCCAATCAGCGCGCTGCACGAACTTTCTGTTCCAACTTTGTATTTGATGAGTTTAGGGCCCCTGTGGGTGAAAGTTTTCGCAGACTACCGAGTTAGAGGTGGTTGTAACTTGTGGTGCCATCTTCCGATAAGCACAGCAAGCAGACGAAAACGTGCAACGTTTGCTTGCTGCGCCCATCGGGGGATGGCGCTACAAGTTACAGTCATTATTGTATGCAGAGACGAGAATGCTATTCCAACTCCAGAGGAGGCGACGCCACCCGCGGAGTAGACCCGAAGGAAAGGGGGTACCGCCCAAGGTACCACCGCCTATGCAAGAGTGCGGCGAAGCCTGGCGCTACCTGACGGCAGAAATGTGAAACGGGAATGTGGATTCCGCGGTGGATTCAATGCACGCCGTTGGATTTGGGAATGCGTGAGAGTTTGCGACTTTTATTGGCGATTCCACTTAACCTGCGTTCCCGCAAAAAAAAAAAAAAAAAAAATCTTCGAATTAAAACAAAAATAAATTTACAACACTTTGCCAGCAAAGACGGTAGGTAGCCTTCCGAGTTTTTTTCGTTCCGTATCGATATTTTATAGCCTTTGGCTGAATAATTCTCAGCAATACACTTCTATGCAACGTGAATACGGAGCACGTATTTTCGTTTAAATCGAAGAAACTCGAGTAAGACCTCTTTTTCGCTCGACTTTGCTGGGGTGATTCTTACGTGACACGGATCACGTTGCATGTACGTTGCATATTTTTCCGTGTTTTATTTAACATTGGAATACGCTACCCAACGACGTTTGGGAAGTAAGATTCTCGAAACTTAAAAAAAAACATAACCAATCATAAGTTATTTTTTTAATAAATAATTTTGTGATTGTGCCTCTCCCTGGTGTAATGCCTTTTCGTGCAATGTAGGTACTCAGTTGAAATGAGCTCTTTAAATGGGGCGGTGGCATGCGCCACCGAGGTAAAGCTTTAAAAAAAATAAGGTTAAGCTTTTTAATGGTATACTTATATATTCGGAACTAATAGAGCCTGGTAAACGATCTCTTATCGCTACTACGCATGATCATTCATCCTTCACAACCGAAAGGGTGTAGAGAATATTACAAAGAAACAAAAACTAATATCTGTCTGGCGGCCGGTGCCTCTTCGCAACCTGGAGCGCGCACTCACCCTCCGACAAAATAATAATTAAAAAAAAAATTGTAAGCTGGCGCCATCTAGCGTGGAGCAAACCAAACAGTCTTCGAGTCCTCCGTGGCGTAAATGTCAAGTATCATCCCACGATGTTCTCTCTAATTTGTTTGCCGGTAAGTAGAAAGGTAGACTAAAAATAGTCACGCCCTTCTGAGCACGAACGTGACGTCTCTGACGTAAAACGTCCCTCCATCCGCGACGGAACGGACATGGGTTTGCCGTGAACATTATTTATTGCCAGGACTGCACGTGGATCAGAAACGTCATTCAACACGACATAGATCCCCGACGCACGAATCACGGCCTACTACAACCAAGCAATCGGACTCTGAGTCATTGCTACAGGTGCGGATAGGTGGAACCCAA